AACAAGAAGCTAAGGCTGACCATTGAAAGCTGGAGTGATATTGTCCATATCTTTTGGACCTTGTAGCTGACAGGGACATAGCCCTCTGAATCACACAATGAAGACCTACTCTATATTCTACTTTGAAATTTAGAAACACAAAGATCATAGTGTGAACAATACATACATAGAAAAAAGAGTTCTTAGATACAGAATGACAACTGGAGAAATCAGTAGATACCTGTGAGGTCTTCTTAATCAAAGGCAAACTTTGATTGAGGCAGCCAAATATTTTTTGAATATCTGGAATCCTGGCTCCAAAGTGAACTGATCTGAGCTCCTAACATTACCTGATAACGGCAGAAATACAGGATGTACAGATAGCTGGCTAGACCCTTTCAGGTATGAAAAGGAATGTAGCTAATTTCACTTTATAAGGTCTAATTATAAAACTTAAAGAAATAATTTTACTCAGTAATCACAGTATCCTAAAGAAACATTGCATCGCTAAAGTGGACAGTCCTTAAACTAAATACATTAAATGCAAAATCTTACTGGAAATATTAAATGGAACAAACCAGGAGTAACTTTGCCAATGTGAAGAAAAATTCTTCAAATAGTATAGTTTTGTTTTAGTCATTGACATATGAGAAAATTTATATAGTAAAGTATATGCTTATAAAATTTCAACTTATATTTAGTGGGGGAAACAATTTATTACACCAAAAAGGTATAAATGCATACATCTGTCATAACAGATGGTAATGCTTTTTTTCTGCTCTTGCCAGGGTCTCTTTTTGGCTGAATGGCTTTTGCTTCTTAAAACTATGAACATTGTCACTCACACCTATTTTCTGAAATTAAGCAGACCAATTCTATGATGAAACCCCCTATAAATTTGGTTACTGTATAATGTCTTCTCATTTTGTATCGTAAATTATCTAAAGTACCACTTTACCTAAAATAATGAAAAAGATTCAAACTGGGAAAAAGATATTCTGCAATAAAACCTTTATTTTAATTTCCTTAAATCAATTTTGGAAAATCTTCTACATTTAAATTTAATCTGATAGGATATTATAAAGAAAATTATAAAACATTATACTGGACTTGCACCTTTCCATCCTGAAATATTTATTTTGAGCTTTTAAAATGCTCAATTCCTTTAAGTCATTGGCAAAATTACAATGTATAGGGCCAGGGATTTAGCTCAGTGGTTCCACCTCCTGCCTCGCAAGCACAAGGTCCTGAGTTCGATCCCCGGTACCAAAAAAAAAAAAAAATTACAGTGTGTACATACAGACCACTGGGCAACGCATCTTGTTGCTTTGTCTTCTGATAAATGGGAAGAACTTTTTCTAACTGTATGTGACACAAACAGACTAGTTTGTTGTGTAACTTTAATATGCAAACCAGTTGTTCAAAGTAACAAATATACTTACTGGATAAAAAAAGTGAAAGAATATACTGTATAAGCAGGAGGAAGGCGAGGGAAAGGGTGAGACAGAGATTGGATGGGTAATGCTAGATTCAGTCTCCCAAAGGACAGGGGTTAGAGCTTTGTGCCTCTCACAGTAGCTGGCATTGTGCACTGCCTACTTGAAAGTAACAAGGTTTTTTTCTCAGGCAGTTTCACAAAGGTCGGCTACCATTTGATTCTCAAATGAAAATGATCAGAAATGTTAGGGTTGTTAAGGTAATTCTAGCTGCTACAGCAAATCCCAATATTTTAGCAGCTGTTTAAGTGTATAACTCATCCACTTATCAGCCCCAGCAAATGCCATTTAGGGAGACCTCTATGTCACAACAATCATTCAGCATCACCTCTATGTCTGGGCAGAAAAAAGAAGTGAGAACAATGCTAAGGAGACGTTTTTAAGGCCCCGTCTGGATCCTATGGTTCATAAGTCTATTTATGTCCTATTGGGTAGAACTCAGTCACATGTTCACATCTAAGGACCATGAAGGCTGAAAAACGTTGTCACTTAGAGTTTAAAAAAAAGAAAAAGAAAAGAAAGAAAAGAAAAGGACATGTTCATGAAAATCCAGACAGTTTCTGCCATAATAAATATTACAAACATTTTATCACTGCCAAAATTGAGGTTGGACAGCTGTCACCTGTAAAAAGTACCTGGTGACACTTTCTTTGCAATTGTAAAATAACACTTCATTTTATTTTTGTCTCCCATTTTTTGCTTCTCTCTGTTATCTACAACCTATTCTTTTAATTATCGTCTAGTGATTTGGCTGCACTTACTGCATTATTAAGTTTTATTTTGAAGTGTACATTACACCCAAGGAAAAGGAAAATTAGTAACATAGCAGGACATGCATAAACATCTAGTTAAATATTTTTATGAGACATAACTTTTTACTGCTTTTTAAATAAAAATACAGGGCTTTTTCCCAAGAAATTTAAAACTTTAATTACTATCAAAATTCTGAATGGTGTAATTAATGATACTGAGATGATTGTTTTTACCAGCAGGAGAGCCACCTTTATTTTTAAGCCATGATAGACAACTTTGGCCATAAAATGTTCAGAAAATTTTGGTGAAGAACAACACTTTGGAGGAAATGGTATGACTGTAGATCAGCTGTAGCCTTGAGATGGCTATGGAGACACTCAGGAAAGCGATTTTCTGGCAGTTTCCTCTGGCATCCCCATGTGTCGGTCATTTTATTTTTGTGACAAGAAGAGAAGGTTTCCAGATATGAACTGTGGCTAGGCTGCATGAATGCATTCCCGTTCAAAAGCTGAACTGTACATATTGCAACTAAAATGGAGAACTTACATTTTTAAGACACTCGCGTGTGTGCGTGTGTGTGCGTGTGTGTGTGTAGGACAATTTCTATAAATTATGCTTTTCCTCAGTATCTATATTTGAAGAATTTTGGTGGGAAGAAAATTTCCTTCCATTGATCCAAATTAGGAACAAGCGTTGAAAATAAATGTGATCATTAAAACTGACCCAAATATGAAGTGACTGGATGTCACTATTGTGTTAGTCCCCTTTCCATCACTCTGACAAAATACTTGAGATAATCAACTGATAAGGAGGACAGGCTTATTTGGGCTCATGGTGTCAGGAGTTTCAGCTCAAAAATCACTTGGCCCCATTGCCTTTTGGGCCTGTGGCAAGGCAGTAAGTACTCAATGGCAGAAAGCGTATGGTAGAGCAAAGCTATTCACCTCAGGACAGACAGGAAGCAAAAGGAGAAAGAGGAAGGGACCAGTACTACTATCCCCTGCAGAGGCATATCTCCAGTGACCCAACTTCTTTCCATTAGACCCCATCAACTCCCAATAGCAGTATAGGCTGGGGGCCACACCTTCAACATACGGACCTTTGGAGGACATTTAAGATCAATCCCCCTCCTCCTAACCCTCACAATTCAGCCGCCCCCCCCAAAAAAAAACAAACAGTGAAAAGGATCAAAATGTCTTCCCCAATGGAAAGTCACCAACAGGTGCTGATGAAAGTTAGGCTGCAGGTCACAAGCATCACCTCAAGCATCCTTGGCTCCCTAGGATAACAGAAACATCTCCCCTCCAAGGACAGAGCAGGTTACAGGGGGTTAGCTAAGCATTGGTCAGCACTGCAAGTATAAGGACTAAAGAGATAGCAAAAGGCCTTTGGTTGATCTCTGCCTACAGGTGTCTTCAAACGTGTCCCCCTGAAATAAAGCTTTTAGAATAAGTCTGCCTCCAAAGAAGTAGCTCTCATTTACGCAACTCTAAAATAGTGAAGATTAAAGCACCCTGGATATGGGACTCAGATAATCCTGGATTCTAATCCATGCACCATGAGTCTTGGGATAACGTTACTGTGAAAATTAATTAAAATAATTACTACATAAAATAATTATGTACTGTGTGAAAGAAATGTAAAAATTGTTAAGAATCAAAATGGAGTCACTTGTACCAATCCTAACAACAAAAGTAAATAAAGCCAGCGATGATGAAAGAAAGGTACTTATGCATAACTGCATAACTATCACAAAAGACTACCCAAACCACCTCAGTATGTACAGAGACCTTTGTAACCTTATACAAAAAGTACTTCTACCAGGACATCTGCTCAACAACTGTGTGTCCAACCTCAGACCAAGGCCACTCTTAATATTAATCACTGTGGCCAAGGATTATTGTTTCACACTATCTGATGTAATATTCCTAATTTTCGTTTTAAAAAAAAGTTCCTTGCCGCAAGCTCTTTGAATCTGACCATAACTCACTGTGGCATGTTATATTCTCACCTCTATGCAGAGCTGGTCCTTTCACAACGCTCTGCTACTCCCAAAATAAATAGCATATCTTTGTAACCCTTTGCAGAATTTCTCATTGTTTAATTTACGTCGACACGTGTAACACGAGCTCAAGAATGGATAGCTGTCATTACTATCGTGATTCGGGGAAATCTGCCTAACCAGGATATTTTAAATATTGACGGAGGAGGGAGGAGTGAAAGATTCTGTTTAATCAACGGAAGACAGTTTAAAGGAGCTAGATAGAGTTGTTTAGGTAGAGAAACCTACATAATCCCATCCACATTTAGATTTAAAAAAAAAAAAAAAAGTGGAAGAGTGACTGCATTTGTTCAGTAAGGCGGCCCTGGAAGGAAGAACTAGTTCCAGAGCAGAGGGTGGAGGTCGGGGGAGACAAATTTGGCTTCCTATCAGGACGCATTTGGGGCAGATTAGAGCGGTTCAAAAATAGCATGGGGCCAGGGGTGAGGGGGTGGGGGAGATCAGTACTTCAATAGAGGCTATGCAAGACCAGAAGAGACCTTGGTGGAGGCAGCATTTCAAGGATTTTGAGTTTCTAGCCAATGTCACGGACCAAATTGGAGTCCCAAAAGAAAGAAATGGTCGAAGTGGGTAAAAGAAAATACCCTGCCCAGCCAGAGGCCAGCTTCTCCCAGCTACCTCCAACACGCAATTTGCGGGAAGAAAAATCCTCTCCTTAGCCTGAACTCTCGCGAGCCCCGCCCTCCTCACGCCGCCGCTCGCGGAAACTCGGTTGCTATGCGACGGGGGCGGTTGACCAAAGTAGGCCCCGCGGTTTAGAGGAGCAGCCAAATTTATTACGGAGCTGGGCGTGGCCTCGGTTGCTTCGCAGCGGGGACGCTTAGGCAGGGCTTGAGCCCAGTTTCTAGACCAATGCTCCCGGAATTTTGCATGGCACCCAAGAAAGAGAAAAGCGGGGTTGCGAGCAGCAGTTCTGAGATATGGGAACCTTCGCTCATAGCTGCACACTTGAATCAGGTGAGCCGTGAGCCCCTTAAATCCTCTTCCCCGGGGCAAAGCCAGAAGTCCCGAGAGACCCTCCGCAGGCAGACGCTACCGCCACCCTCTCTGCGAAAACTCCCAAGCTGTCCTACTTGGTACTACTTTCCCAGGTGGTTTTAGCTCACAAAATGACCCAGGGTCCCTTGAGCAGGAGTGCTTGATAAATGAGTGTTCGCTAAGAGCAGAAAGGGAATACCTCCTGGGGAATCAGGGCGACTTCAAAGGGTGGTGACCCAATGCGTGGTGGGGACAAGAGGAGGTGATGCTCTGGCACCCGGTACTGTTCCCTGTTCCGCAGAGTCCAGAGTTGTACTAGAGTTGTGCTTGTGAGCTATTTGCTTCCCATTAACAACCTCTAGAGGATACGAATCTTGTCATCGGTGGCCTGGCCCAACTTAAGACTTCTGTAAATGTTGAGTGAAAAATAGACATGGAGAGCCTAAGACAACGGCCTATAGAATGAGCCTCTACAGATAGGAAAGGGTAACTTGCTTATAAAATGTCCTGATACTTCTATATCAACGTTTGGATATATTTTGAAGGTGTAAGAGACCAGAGCAAAGAAGGGCTGGCCATCATCTACAGGGCTGCCACAAATGCCCTGAGCAACCCACTTGCCATAAGACTTCAAATACCTGGGATCCCAGAACTGACTAGCTCCTGCCCACCTTCAGCAAGTGCAGGGCACAGCCCGTCTTGTTGCTTGCACGTGGAAGTCCACTTCTATACTGTGCTGTTTCTAAGTCAAGTAGACATTTGGGAAGAGCAAATTACAGTCTGCCATTATGAACTACTTTTACAAATGGAAAACTTTTTTCATTTTATATATGTGCACTGGAGAGTGTGCATAAAGGAAATGGATCTGAAGTCTTGCGTCATCCTCATGAGAACATTTTTACCTTTTTATTCTTATTTTCCATTATAATTCTTTTTTCTCTATGGATGGCAATTTTCTCTGCTACAGAAACTGATCCTGATGAAGAATTTCATGAACATACTTATGATACTACTGACATTAATGTGACATGGAATGTTGGATCATTCCTATAACTTTAAAAATGAAGGATGTCAACCCAGTAATCCTCAGTTACATTCTCAAATTCTCAAAGATGTTTTTTTCAAAGCACTTTGTAAAAGCACTCTCTCTTTTGCTTTTCTAAGACAGAACTAGCCAACATAATTTTTTCTCCATTTTCTTTGAGACTATGTAGGCCAAGTTGGGCTTTGAGTGAACATTTCTGCTTGAATTATAAACTGCTGAACAACAGAGTCTGATGGAGGTGCTGACACTGCATTAGCTTTAGTGTTGCAAATATGAAACTATAATTTTCCTGGTCGAGTGGAAAACCTAAAGGCACTATTTTTTCTTATGGCTTGAAAACCTGAAATAATATTCAGCTGTCTTGATCCTACTCAAACAATATAATTTCAATAAATCTTCTGTACTCACAGAAAGAATTTGAACTAAAGTAATATGTACTTTTAACTACAAAGAGTAATCTCAATTTTCTTCAGTTTGTTGCAATACATATTTTCATCTTGCAAGAAGACAACTGCCATCTGTCTCCTCCCATATTTTTTCCTCAGCTTGGTTTTGTATCTGATTCAAAAGGCAAATTCCCAGATTAACCCCATAGGTGCAATGCTCAAAGGCATACCCTAAGCAGCAGTTTAACCAACTCAGAATTCACCTTAAGTAAGACTATGGATGTCTGAATTCATTATTTGTAGAATTTAGCAAAATGCTCTGCACATAATGTGTGGTCAGAAAATGTTATTGTTTAGTTCCTAGAGAGTTTCTTTTCATACAGGTGTTACTCCTACACTGAGTAAGTGTGCTTGAGTATGCAGTAGGTGTTGTATGTATTGTGTGTGTTAGATGTAAGAAAGAAGGAAGTAATTCCTCCAGTCTTCCATAAGCCAGTTTTTAGGATTAATTCATTGAAGAATACAAATGAATGGTAGATTTAAATTCATACTCATACTCAGCTATACTAGACTTTAAAAAGACTAAACATGCTCACTATTTGGACTGTCTTTTGAGCTAGAGTATTTAATTTTAATACAATTTATTTGGTTTTTAAACATAAAATAATAGCAAATAATACAAAGTAACCTGTTAATAAGAACTAAATGATTAGATAGAGATTAGAGGTTAGGAAAATAAATACCAACTGGTATAGTCAGAAAATGCTTTGTAAAATTTTATGTTTAGCTGAGCCCTAAAAATGGGCAGAACTTGAAAAGGAAAAATAAAGGAGGAAAATTTTTTAGGTAAGGACACCAATATGTTCCTCAAATAAGTCTGGGATATTTAGATTGAATGAAAGGAGTGGGTTAGATATAAATTGCTCCTAAATTAATTCTATCAATTAATACTCATTTACTGTCTTTGCTATTTTCATATACCAAAACACTTAGCTTATTAAAATATGTGAAACATTGTCCCTCAAGTTAGATTTAAAAATAATATATTTAGGTATACAGCAATAAGATTGTAAAACTAGATGTTAATATATGTATGTATGTGATACAGACATTGTATTTATGATCTCAAGCAGCATTAGAAAGTCAAAGGTGTTTTGATATAGTAGTCCCTCTTTAATTGTTTCACTTTCTGTAATTTCAGTTACCCTCAGTCAGCCAGCCACAGTCTGAAAATATTAAATAGAAAATTCCAGAACTAAAACCTAAAAATTTAAAATAAAAATATATAGCTTAAAATTTAAGTGGCATTGATGTTATGAGCAGTGTGATAAAATCATGCATCAACCTGCTCCATCACACCTGAAAGATAAACATCTGTTTGTCTAGCACATCTGTGTTGCGTATGCTACTTTTCCGTTAGCCACTTAGTAGCCACTTCAGTCATCCAAATCAGACTAGTGTTGTATCGCAGTTCTGGTGCAGTGCATATAATGTTCAATTCCTCCACATTTTGCTATTATTCTACTTAATAGCCCCAACGCGCGTTTGTAGTGATTCTGGTAACTCAGATATGTCCAAGAGACGCTGAAAGTTGCTTCCTTTAAGTGAAAAAGTGAAAGTTCTTGACTTAATAAGGAAAGGAAAACAATCATACACTGAGGTTGGAAAGATCTACTTTAAGAATGAATATTTTATGTAATTGTGAAAAAGGAAAAAGAATTTTGCATTAGTTTCAGTATCTCATTACCAGCTGCAAAAGTTATGATCACAGTGCATGGTGAGTGCCTAGTTAAGATGAAAAAGGCATGAAATTATAGGACTCAGTCCTATCCACAGTTCTGGGCATCTGCTGTGGTCTTGGAATACATCTTTGCATGCAGTTGTAGGGTAGACTCTACTGGCCACAGAGAGAGGAATAGGTGTTACCCTATGTTCTCAGCACTCACTAAACAATAGCAACCTCGTGTTCCTTCTTCTCTCCCACTGTCTTACTCCGCTCTCTGATGCTATGACAAAACATCTGAGACCAGGTGGCTTACAAAGACCTGAAATGTTATTTCTTATAGATCTGAATGCTGCTAAGTGCAAGAACATGGTGCTGTTATCTGTCAAGTATTTTCTGGCTGTGTCATAACATGGTGGAGTGCACCACCGAGCAAGGAAACACATGACAGACAGAAAAAATCTAGCTGAACTCCTTTTATCAGGAGCCTGTTCCCATAATAATTAACCCACTGCTCCATCCATTCATAAGGGTGGTGTGTTTGTGACCTGATCACCTCTGAAGGGTAATTAAATTTCAACAGGAGTTTTGGAGGGAGGCATGCAAATCATAGCACCAGCCACTGTACTGCATTCTATGCATTTGACTAGTGAAGGTACTTTATGTAAGTGTAATCATATATATTTGCCTTTTTTGTGATGAGTTTATTTCACTTAACATGGTGTCCTCAAAATGCATTCATTCTGTAGTATGTGTTGGAATTTCCTTGTTTCTCAAGGCTGAATAATTTTCCATTATGTGAGTATACCACATTTTATTTGACCATTTGACTATCCGTTGATAGACACTGGCTCCCTCTTGGGCTATTATAAATACTGCTATTATTGACACGGTTGTACAAAAATCTGTCGTAGCTCCTGTTTTCAGTTCTAGGGGGTATACTTGCAGAAGTGGACTGGATGGATTATATGTTAATTCTACATTTAAGTATTTGAGGAGGCACAATGACTAAATTTTGATTTTCCACCAGCAATTCATAAAGGTTTGAATTTCTCCACACTGTTTTCACAACTTTTGTTGTTTTGCTACTTTCTTTTTTTGATGGACTTTTGGTTTTTGTCTTTTAAACAATCATACTAGTATCTGTGAGATGATGTTTCCTGTTTTGATTTTTACTTTCCTAATGATTAGTGATATTGAGCATATTTGCAAGTCCTTCTTAGCAGTCATTTGTTTATCTTCTTTCGCTTTTGCTCATTTTAAAATTGATTCATTTGGTTATTATATTATTGAATTGTAAATATTTGTGTGTCTTCAATATTAAACAGTATCAGATATATAATGCACACATACTTTCTACTATTCTAAAGGTTACTTTTCACTTCATTGGCAATCTCTTTTAATATACATTTTTAATTTTAGAAGCCCAGTTTACCTTTTTTTTTATTCCTTATGTTCTTGGTATTATATCCAAGAAGTCATTACCAAACCCAATATTCTCTGTTTTTAAGAGTGCTGTTTTTTCTGTTATGCCTAAGTCTCTGATCCATTTTGAGTAATTTTTTTAATTTGTTGTGAGATTTAGGTCTCTCTTCAATCTTCCCTGTTTTCCCCAGCATCATTTTCAAAGGCTGTTCTTTCTGTATTGAACTGTCTTGGCATCCTTGTCAAAACTCTTTGACCCTACAGTGTAAGGAAGTGTCTACTTCTAGGCTCTTTATTCTGCATATGATGCTAGTTTTAGGTCTTTTAAACATGGCAGTTATTATGTTGAAATTGTTTTCTTTTATTCCTAGTTTGTTGAGAATTATTTGAAAGGATGTTGGATTTTCTCCAAATAAGTTTTTTTTTTTTTTGATCAATTGAAATGACCATGTGGGATTTTTTCCTTTATTATGTTAATGTAGTGTATCATACTGATTTTTTAAATTTTTAATTTCTATTTCCTCTCCTCCAGCTTTATTTAGGTATAACTGACAAATTAAACTTACATATGTTTAAATTGGTTTTCATGTTGAACTAGCCTTGCATTTCAGGAATAAATTCCACTTGGTCATGTTGTATTTACCTTTCAATACACTGTTGAATACATTAGTATTTTGTTGCATCATATGGGATATGGTTCTGTAGTTTTCTTGTAGTATGTTGTCTGGCTTTGGAATCTGTCTCTCAGGATGACTTTGGAAGTACTCCCTCTTCGATTTTTGGAAGATTTTGAGGAGAATTATTAATTCTTTTAAAAATATTTGGTAGATTACACCAGTGAAGCCATCTGGTCCTCAGCATTTCTTTGTCAGAAGATTTTTGGTAATTGATTTAATCTCCTTTGTAGATCCATTCCAATTTTCTGTTTCTTCATGATTCAGTCATGGTATGCTGTGTATCTCAAGAAAGCTGTCTAGTGTTCACTTCAGCAGCACATATACTAAAATTGGAAGACATTTGTCTAACTCATCTGGGTTAGCCAATTTGTTGGTATGAAATTATTTGCAATATTCTTACAATCTTGTTTATTTTTGTAAAATTAGTAGTAAAGTCCCTTTTTGCAGCTGATTTTCCTACTTGACTTTTCTTTTTTCTTAATCAATCTAGTTAAGATTGTCAATTTTCAGGGCCAGGGATTTAGCTCAGTGGTTTTGCCGCCTGCAGTGTAAGCGCAAGGACCCAAGTTCAATCCCCAGTACCAAAAAAAAAAAAAAAAAAGATTGTCAATTTTCTTAATTTTTCTTGAAGAACCAACTCTGTTACCTTAATATTCTATATTTTTCTGTATACTCTATTTTACTTATTTCTGCTGTAATCTTTGTTATTCTTTGCATTTTGATAGCTTTGAGCATAGTTCATTGTCTTTGTTTGAGCATAGTTTAAGTATGGTTTTTATGCACCGTAGGGTGAAAGTTTAATGGCTTGAAACTTTTCTCTCTTTTTCTTGTGTAGCACTGATTTTGCAGCACTGATGTAGCACTGATTTTGCTATATTCAATGATTTTTTGTTTTTTATTTATCTCGAGATATTTTTCAGTTTCTCTTACGATTTCTTCCTTGACATCATTGTATAAGACCCTATTTTTTCCACATAGTGGTAAATTATTCAAGTTTTTATCAGAAGTTGATTTCCAGTTTCACTCTATTGTGATCAATACAAGATAGTTTGTATCATTCATTCTTTTAAAATGTATTAAAAATTATTTTTAGCCTAACATGTAGTCTCTCCTGGAGAATGTTCTGTGTACATTTGGGAAAAAAGCATATATTCTATTCTGCTGTTGTTGGATGGAGAGTTCTGCATATGCCGGTTAGAGCCAATGACTATGCAGGATTGTTCATAATCTTTTGTTTCCTTGTTAATCTTTTATTTAGTTGTTCCATTCATCATCATGAGTTATGTATTAAAATTTCCTATTATTATAAAGCTGCCAATTTCTCCCTTCAATTCTGACAGTATTTCTTAGTACAGTAGCATGTTGGTTTATGAATTTAATTGGTATTCCAATTTAGGGAAGATAGCTACTTTTTTGTTCATGTGAGGAAGATAGGCATAGTCAGGTTTGTCACCCAATGTGGAGTTTGAAAACAGAAGCAAAATTTTGCCAAACACTTTGTTTATGAACTGAATTGTTTACAAACAGAAGCATTCCAGAATCAAAGTATTACTGCATATTTTGGAGTTCTGATTTTGGGTGCATTTATATTCATAATGATTGTATCTTCTTGGTGAAATGACCCTTTTATCATATATAATATTTTTCTTTGACTGTTGTAATGGCTTTTTGCTTAAAATGTATTTTGTGTTATGTTAGGATAGCCACCTCTCCTCTCTTTCAATTACTTTTTGCATGGAATATTCTTTCCATTCTTTCACTTTCTATTTAGGCATGTTCTTGGATCTAAAGCAAAGCTCTGCAAATAATACACAGCTGAATCTTGATTTTTTAAAATCCATTCTGCCAATCTCTGTTCTTTGATCTGGTGAGTTTAATCCATTTACATTTAAACTAACCATTAGTAGGAAAAGACTTATTTTAGCAATTTTGTTATTTGTTTTCTGTGTGTCTGATACTTTGTTTGTCCCTCACTATCTCCATTATTGCTTTTATTTAGTCAGTTTTCTGCAGTGACATGTTTTGATTCCCTTTTCATTCCCTTTTGTGTATTTGCAATAGATACTTTCTTTGTACTTACCACAGGGATTACATCTAACATCATGAAGTTATAACACTATTTTATGATAGCCAATTAATTTCATTTGCATAAAGAAATTCTATTCCTTTACAGCTTCACTCCCCCACAAACACTATGTTATTAGTGTCACAAATTATATCTTTATATTTGTGTACCTGTTAAGCTAGATTAATAGCTATGTTTATGCTTTTGTTTTTAAATCTTATTGAAAATAGAAAGTGAAGTTGTCAATCAGCATTATAATAATACCTTTTAAAAAAGTGTATTGATCCATAGATTTATGTTTACTCAGATAACTATATTTTTGCATGCCTTTGCATCACTCTTTAGCGTTCTTCCATTTCAAATTGAAGAGCTGCATTTACCATTTCTCCAAGGGAATGCCTAGCAGCAATTAACTCCCTCAGCTTTTGTTTTCCTGGAGATGTCTTCATTTCTTCTTTGTCAGTGAAACACAGTTTTGCTGGATACAGAATTCTCAGTTGACAGCAATTCTTATTTCAGCAATTAAAATGCAACATCCCACTGCCTTCTGGTCTGCAAAGTTTCTGTTGAGAAATTAATAACCTTAACTATGAATTGTATATGATGGGTTACTTTTTTCTTGACAGGTTTAAAATTCTATCTCTTTGGCTACTGACAGTTTCATTATTGCATTAGCCTAAGTCTCTGTTGGTCATACAAGGAGTAATCAAAATATATGGTGAAGGTTTAAATTTTAAAAATTTATTACAGTAGAAGACACATTGTAATGATTCCTCAAAATACTTCCCCTTGCTGCAATCACAGGGAGTGATAAAAAATACAGTGAGCCACCTGCCCTGAAAGCACAAGGACCTGAATTCAATCCCCGGTAACAAAAAAAAAAAAATACAGTGAATGCTGCTGCCAAGTGCCATCCAATGGAAAAGCAAGATTGTAAATATGCTATGGTATATCTTCATCTACTTTATTCATCAGATCTGGCACTGCATTACTTCTGGATCTTCACCAAAATCAAAATGACTATGACAGGCAAACATTTTGAGTCAATTCAAGACAACAGAGCAACTACAACACCACAAAAAAGACACTCATGAACTCATGAACAAACTCACTTGAAGTTTGTTGAAATTCTAGGGCAATGGTGGTGAACCTATGGCATGCATGCCACAGTGAACATGCAGAGCCCTCTCTGTCCGCAAAGAAGCCAAGTCACCTCAGCATCACCCCAGCAGCTGAGCATTGGATAATAGAGCACATAGGGGCCATGAACATGCTCAAAAATGACTAGTGGCACCAGGTGATGACATCATGATCTGTTTCTCATTAGCTATGACTTCTCTGAGCTTTCACATGGCTGGCCAGTGCGCTGCCAGGGAGATTATATAAATTATATATGTTTGCTTGGACTGGCTGTGATTTTAGCAGAAGCCTCCACATGGTAGGAAATGCACTCAGATGCCTTCTTCTGAGCAGGCCAAAAGCTGGTGGTCAGTGGAGCACCGCCCCCTTGTGCTGGTGGTCAGTGGAGTATCGCTCCCTTGTGCTGGTGGTCAGCAAATTGAAGAGAAACTTCAGCTGAGAATCACTGCCATAGATTGTTGATTCAGGGAATATACAATTCTTTAGTGTTAACTAATAGTATTAACTATCTTTTGTATAGGGATAGATTTCTAGTGAGTGTTTCATTTGTTTTAAATTTTGTGTTTTTGTAGACGCCAAGTCTTGAACACCAAAAAATGACTTAAAAAAAAAAGCAAAACTGAAAATATATAATGGAAGATAATTCCAAGAGGCCTGGATTATTCCATAGTTGTTTGGAGTGATTGAACACAATAGGAAAGCGTTATGTAGTGAAAGTGTTGTGTGTCACACATCAAGTGTCAGATGGCACTTTGACACCAACCACAAAAGTGTTGCCAAACTTGGTGAAACTGAAAGGAGTTTCTTGAAGAGAAACTGAGGAATCATCATTCCCAGTATCTTAGTTTTTGGAACTATCTTTCTAAAAGAAATCATCTGACAGCTTCCACCTTTCAAATTTTACTGTGCATAGCGAAACATGGTAAACCCTTGTGTGAAAGGGATTTTATCAAAATGACCATGTTATCTGGGAGTAAGTCCATGTTTCATGACTTCCCAAACAAGGATAAAATTATGCAATCCATCTTTGAGATGCCACTTACAGAAATACTGTTGAAGACTAAGTCCTGTGCATGGCAAGTGATGTTAGTCAGCAGCTCACTTCTGACTTACAAAAGGAAGCCTATTACTCCATGTGGTTGGATGAAAGCACAGATAAAAATAATCATGCAAGACAAGAAGTAATTTTGTGTTATGCTGCTGGTGACATCATGAGAGAAGAGCTGGTGGAACTGGTGTCCTTGCCTGGAAGAACACGGGATAGATATCTACAGTACTGTGATGGAGGCTTTTTTTTGTCAAAATACATAAGACTAAAAAAAGTGGTTTCAATTACTAGTGATGGAGCACCCTGCATGGTGGGAGCAGCATCTGGTTTTATACAGTTATTTGTTAAAGAAGCAAAATAGGCAATCATTGTATTATACGTTAAGAAGCTTTTCGTGTCAAGGAATGCAGCAAAAAATTAAATGATATCCTTAAAGATGTCACAAAAATGATTAATCATATCATGTCTCATGCTCTTAATATTTGACAATTTTCAAGCATTTCTTGATGAGGTTCAGGCAGAATATAATGCTTTACTTATGCAAAATAATGCCCAGAGCCTGAGCAGAGAATGAATACTGGAGAGATTTGTACCCTGCTTGGATGAAATTTGGCTGTTTATGAATGTAAAACGGAAGGAATATACACAGCTCACTGATATGGCCTGGCTTAACAACTTCATGTTTTTTACAGATTTTACGCTATACTTCAGTGTACTGAAAAAAAAAAACAACTACCAGGTGTAGGGAAAACAGCAGAAAGGATATTTTGTGATAGTACATTTGAAAGAGAACTGCAGGTATTTTTTAAAGAGATTTTGAATGTGGGCAGCTGAAATACTTTTCAAATCTAAAAATGCATTTAGAAAATTCTACTTGCGCATACAATCTTACAAACTATCAGGAAATCTACAAGGAAATTTCTAGCATTGTAGCAACTACAAAGGAGAATTTTACTAACATATTTTTACAGTTCCATGAGATGTAGACAATCCTGTTTTCTTCTCAATATAAAGCCAAATTTGAAGAACTTGATCTTACCTGCTTGTACCGGTTAAATTTTGGAAATCTAGAATTGGAACTTTGGGAATTTTGAGAAAACTCTATCTGCAAAAATCAATTCTGTGAGCTGTGTGCAACATTTGAAAAGATAAAGAAGATAAAGTTTGAAGGGATGACAAAGAACAGCACAGTTGGTAGTTCTGAAAATGAAATCCTGAAAATATGGAATTCTCTTTCAAATAATTTTAAGTCAATGAAAGCACATAGGATTGCACTTCTTACTTTGGATCATCTTATCCTTGTGACTAGCTGTTTTCAGCTTTGAATTATACAAAAGCTGATACAAGAAACAGACTAACCATGACCTGAGTGCTATATGTGTTACTCTCAAACTAAGGAAATATGAACCAAGGTTTGACACTTTATCAGCATGCATACAACAGCAAAGATCAGGTCGATGGTGCAAAAGCATGTCAAATGCAAACATTTACCTTTCAATAAAAAGCTGTTTGTATCACTGAAAGCTGTCATTGTGTTTTTCTTTTAAGGCAAAAGATGTTAATGTATCATTTTTGCTAAACCGAAATCTCAGTATTCAAGTTTAATTGCAGTGTTGGCACTTTGTGATACATAAGTGGGTTTAGGGTTGCAGTTAGGGCACTCAGTCTCTAAAAGGTTCACCAAAACTCTTCTAGGATTTGTAGATCTGTATCTTTCCTCAAATTTGGGAAATTTTCACCTATTATTAATTTAAATGATCTGTCAACTCCCTTTACTGTCTCTTATTTTTCTGGGGCTCTTACATATATCAACTGACCTGCTTGATGGTTTGACCTGCTTGATAGGTTTTTCTCACTTTATTCATTTTACTCCACACTATAATTTCAAATGACCTCTTTTCAAGACTGTAGTCTTTCTTCTGCTTGTTAAAGTGTGCTATTGAATCCATCTAGTGAAATTTTTGATTCAATTACTACATTTTTTAGTTCTGAATTAAAATCCTGTTATAATTCATATCTCTTTTTTTGGTGTTCTCATTTTGATTATATAATGCTTCCCTGATTTCCTTTAGTTCTTTGTCTGAATTCTCCTTCAAAAATACCTGTCTAGTAAATCCAGTGCATATATTTCTTAAAAGACAGTTTCTGGAGACTTGTATTGCTGATTTTAATGGGCCATGTATTTCTGTCTGTACGTCTTCTGATTTTTTGTTGAAAATTGACCATTACAAAAACAGCCATCTGTCTCACTTTTTATAGATTGGTATGAAAGATTTATGCTAATTAGCAGGGCATTTGCTGAGGTTACAACACTGTAAATAAATTCTGCTCTGCTCCTTTGGCCCATGGGAGGGAAGCAAGAACTGGGCTTCCTCCTGAACAGGCTATGACCTCAGGAGAATATAAAGCAAGGGAAAGGCTGGGCATTTAGCTCAGTGGTTCCACCGCCTGCCTCACAAATGCAAGGACCTGAGTTCGATCCCTGGTACCAAAAAGTAAATAAATAAATAGATAGATAGATAGATAGATAGATAGATAGATATAAAGCAAGGGAAAGTAAAAGTGCCATGGAGTTGCCTACTGTATTGAATATTGTTTTCTCTTGCATTGGTCGTTCACTCAGTTGCTGTTGGTCTTTGACTAGTTTCATAGTTTCTAGAGAATCATTTAGTCTCTATATTTTGATTTTTGTTTCTCTTTTTATTGTTTATGTTAATGTTTCTATGGGGAAAGAGGCATTGAGGATTTCTGGTTTGCTGATGTCATCCTGATCTAATATATTTCTAAATCAATTCTGAGTTTTTTCATCTGTTTTAAGCTTATTATATGGCAAAATACGCTAGGATAGGAGAGGAGAGGTTTTGTTTGTAACAATTTATGAAACATTTCCAGAATTTCAAACAGCATAGCCCTTCCTTCTAGGAACTTACATACTGCATAAATCCAGTCTTTGAATAATTTCACAGGCTTCAATCTTTGGGTTAGGGTCAAAATTTCTGAGTCAACAAGGAAAAAACCTTCATATAAATATAGAGAATATTCACAGACTAGATATAAATACTTTTTAATGTCCTTTCAGATATTTTGTATTTTTGTCGCCAAATGTATTTTTCAGAATATCAGGATTCTCCAATATTTATAATACCACAATTAATAATAGCTAAATGCTGGAAGCAGTCAGTATACCCATCAATGATGAATGGATAAAGAAAATGTTATCTATACATAATAGAATACTACTCAACTATAAAGAACGATAAATTTGGGACACTTTTAGGAAAATGGATGCACCTGGAAAATCCAGTGTTGAATGAAATAAATATGAAAAACAAGTTTAAATAGTGCATGGTATTTCTCATTTTAGTAAGGCAAAATACAAATAAAGAGCATGATAAAGGATGGATAGAAGGAAACAAGGGGATAAATCTCTTGCAAATGGGAAGGAGTCCAGGAGACTATAGAGAGGGAAGAAGGGGTGGGGAAGTAAATAGAATAATAATAATAATAATCAATATAAAGATTATGTTTCATAAACATGAGTTAAGAATAATAACAATAAGAGGTAAAATAGGAAATGGGAATTTAGTGACAGAGGGAGGAGGGAGGTGGAAAAGGGAAGGAGATTTAAAGAAGAAAAACTGTATTATGTACGTGTACTCTTCAAGATGACTGTAAACTTCATGTACTGAAAACATGTACTAGTATAATAAAAACCAAAAGTCCGATAAATAAATATAAAAATAATAGTTACTTTACCTGAAACAATAGACTTCATCCTTCATAAATCTCTTATTCTCTTAGCTTCACAGTTGAAGAACAGAAAGACTATAACATATTCTTTATTATATTTGAGGTCTTCTAGGCAGAACAAATAAAATATTTGCATTTAAAACTTCTACATTTTGAGATATAGAAATTATCGATAGAGAGAAATTTATTTTCTTCTTTCTTACCTGGAAGCATGCCACATTCCCTGGTTACACTGGCAAAAAATACCCATTTTATCAAAGTTTCAGACTCCCTCTGTCTCTCAACTTTTGCATTTCTGTCCACAGCACTGTAACTCTTATAACTGACAAAAGTTTCTCTACAAGTCACTGGTGTGTATCTTTCCCTGTATTCAATCTGCTCTAAGTCCTTTTGATTTTTCTTTTAATGTTTTCTCACTTTCATCTCCTCATTGCTAAATTCATGCCTTCATTATAGCCAAATCCCACATCTTTTGATCCCTGAGTTTTTAAAAGAGCCCCTTATTTCTACTTACCATAAATTTACCTATTTCTATTTGTCAAACCACTTGCATTTTTCTCTCCTAAACATTGCTCATACTATATTAATTCCCAACTTAAAAATTGCCAGTGACCATCTGTAATCACATTTATTTTAGTTACTTTTTCTGTGCTGGAACAAAATACCTGACATCCACAAGTTAAAGGAGGAAAGATTTATTTAAGCTCACAGTTTGTAGAGGTTTCAGCACACAGTTGGCTGGCTCCAAGGCAGGGCAGCGTGGCCGAGGGGCATGGCAGAAGAGAAACAGTCCATGGCAGGATAGACAAGAAGGCAGAGAGCAGCAAGCCTTTTGGATTTTTATCCTATCCAGGCTACAACCCTATTGGATGGTACCACTCAACCCAGGTGGGCTTTCTCATTATCCACACACAGAACTATGCTAAACAATCAGTGGATGAATACAGTACTACACATCCTTACTGCCAGTATCACACACCCCTGATCCAGCCACCTCCTAAAAGCCCCAGCTATGAGCACATGAGGTTTTGAGATATCTAGATACAAGCGATAACAACAAAGTATCATCCTGCCATCTGCAGCCCTCTTTAATATGGCTCTATCTATTCACCAATTTAATTTGCTAGGGGTGAGACAGTATCCTCTCTATAACACAGACATGGAAAGAAGGCAATTAGCTGCTGGACACAGTCCATCTCTTGAGTCTCAGACAGATATAGTGATTAAATCTGAATTGCATTTATCATGGATTGGATGACCTAGTGCAACTTACCCTAAGCAATATTGTCCTTTTGTCAGATAGAAATAATAATATCTACCTGAAAGACCTGCTGAGAATATAAAATATTTACTTCATTTCCTGAATATATCTATAGCACATGCTATCTAATACACCTTCAGTAAATGAGTTCTCTCTCTCCTTCATGCTTTCACTAATATTAGTCTCCTTCCTGGAAATGAACGTCCATCTTTCTGCTCCTTGTTCTATTTTTTGAGTCCCTTAGAAATAATGTAGCAAGCTTTCCTGACAATCCTAAACCACATTTAATCTTCCCCTTGACTCTAGGCTTGTCTTAGGAACTTTCTCACCACTGGAACACAATACCTGACACCTACAAATTAAAGAAGGAAAGATTTCTTTTAGCTCACAGTTTCTAGAGGGTTAAGTCCATGGTTGACTGGGTCTAAGGCAGGGCAGCATGACAGAGGGTCATGACAGGCAGAAAGCAGCAAACCTTCCTTCTTCTTTCCCTTTTTATTCCATTCAGGCTGCAAGCCTATTGATTTGTGCTACCCACATCCAGAGTGAGTCTTCCCTCTTCAGTAAGTCCATCATCCACATCCAGAACTGTACTAATCAGTGAACTAATCCAGTATGACAGACCCACAATCCAGTCACTCCCCCAAACCCCATCTATAAGTACATAAGGCTTTGGGGGGACATCTAGATGTAAGTCATAACATTTTACCCCTGGCTCCCAAAAGAATCATGTGCATCCCTTTATGCAAAATACCTTTAGTCCTTCTTTAAGAGTTGCCAAAATGCTAATAGTTTCAGCACTGCTGAAAAGTCCAAGTCCAAATTCTCCTCTGAGATTTAAGGAAATTTCTTAGATGTAAGGCCCTATAAAATGAAAAAAAGTTACATTTCCAACATACAATGGTATAAGATAAACATTCTTATTCAAAAACATGCAGATGGCGAGATAGAAAGAAATGGTATCAAAGCAAGACCAAAATCCAGCAGTGTAAGCACTAAGTCAGGTAGTTCCATGGCAGCATCCAGGCAATCCGTGGTAAGATAGGAACTCCAAAAGGGTTAATTGGGCTCACCCCTACGGCACTGCCAGTGGTCCTCATGGTCTCTCTCTTGGGCCAGCTTTGTTCACTCCTCATGACTTTCCTCTGATGATCCTTCTTCTTGGCTTCTCCAACTTTCTGGAGTCTCTCCTGAACTTTCAACTTCACTCTCACAGCTCTACACACTGCCCTCTCAGAGGCATTCCCAGGCCTTCTTCTGAAATCTAGGTGGAAATCTTCCTGATCCTACATCTCTTGCATTCTACATGCATCTAAAACTAGTAGCACATGAATGGCAGCAAGGTCTGCCTCCATCTGGAGCAGTAGCCAGGCTTCCTTCTCTCTTGGCTGTAGAAGTCTGGCACCTAGATTGCTAAGTACTATGATCCCAATCCTGAGAAACAAATTCCCTAGGCTACTACCATTCTCGGGACCTTGCACTTACGAGGCAGGAGGCGGAATCACTGTGCTAAATCCACAGCCCCAGGCCATTGTTTCTATTGACCCCTTTCAAAGACACCATTGGCATCAGTGCTAATCTTTCCAGCAACTAAGTACTCCTCTACTCCATCTTTGCAGGTGGCAACTTTATCAGAGCTGACTTTCTGGCCAAACTCAAAACTCTTAAGATCATTCTCCTGGGTAGTTGGTTCTTGATTCTCAAGGTACAGCTGGCTTAAAGCCCCCAATAGTAGCCATGCCACCACCTCAACATTAGACTGCCTTAAAATGTCTTCCACTGGATTAATCAGTCTGCTGCCCTTACCCTCAGTCTCCAGAAATATCTCTGGACATGAGCAAAATGCAGACAAATTGCCAAATCATGACACACATGGCCTGGAATCCAATTGCCAGTGCAGTTGTTGTTCCCAACTGAAACCTACTTAGCCCAGCTGCATTTCTATGAGCATTCTGAGCTCTGACCAGAATCTCTCATCAAACTCAGCTCACAGCATTTAATGGCTGCTTCTCCAGCTGGCATCTCTAAAACTTTCCAAACTCCTCTGGTAACCCAGTTCTAAAGGCTTCTGAACCACATAGTCAGGCAATGTCACAGCAATGACCTCACTCTCAGTACCAAAATATCTCTTTGTTGCTTTCCTTTCTCTGGGACACAATATCCAACACCTACAATTTAAACAAAGAAAGGTTTGTTTTGGCTTACAATTTGTAGAGGTTTCAGTCCATAGCTGGCTGCCTCCAAGGCAGAGCAACATGGCAAAGGGGCAAAAAAGGCAAGAAGAAGCAAGCCTCCCTTATTTTTTCCCTTTTTATTCCATGAAGGCTCCAGGCCTATTGGTTGATGCTACCCACGCCAAGGGCGGGCCTTCTCTTTCAGTATATCCATCATCCACCTCTAGAACTATGCTAAAGCAATGGACTAATCCAGTATCACACACCCACAGTCCAGTCATTCACAGAAGTTCCACTATGAGTACCTGAGGCTTTGGGGGAACATCTACATATCAGCCATACAGAGGCTCTATCTTAAAACTTAGTACTTAGTTAAAGAATGCTTTGAATTTTTGCTATCATTTTATATTTTTTTCCTCTTAAATTCTTTTATTAGTACATTTTAGGTATACAGTACATTTGCATTCATCATTGGGAACTTGTACCTTTACAAGATGTAAATTGGTTCTTATTTTTTATCATTTTATATTTTAGAGAACACAAGTAGGACATAAGCTGTTAGACATCATATCTTATATGGTGATATCTTGGTTGTGGAATGGCTCCAAGATCGAACTTTCCACTACCCGAACAGCAAAGTTAAAAAAAAGAAAAAGAATCTACTCAATATTTGTAACTTTGCTTGATAGTTGAACCAAAACTCCAACTAGAAAGAAACCTGTTCAAGCTAAGAGTGAATCACATTTCGCATCGCATCGCATCTCGTCCCGGACACAGAGGGTGATGCTTCAGTCTAAGGGCTGCTCTCACCCAGACAGTATATAAAGCTTGTGTTAACGTATTCAAACATTTGTTGTGCTTTTTTTGCACTTTACTTGTGTAAAATATTATAACCATGGCTCCAAAGAAAGTTAGTGATACCAGCAGTAAAACTGAGGAGAATTGTGAGAGCCGTGATAGAGTGAAAGAAAGAAATCATTGCTAATTTTGTTAAAGTCCTGGGAGATGAATTTATTAGTGTCGTTTTGGGGCCTCAGACAAAATTATTTGGTTTTCCATTATTTCTTATGGGGGAAATATGTTCAGTTCTTGAACTTTTTGGTGTTTGAACAGGAATTTGGATCAAATTGTGTTCGACAACCAAGTTATTGTAATTTTTATATATATCACACAATAACTGGCGTGGTTGAGGCACATGAAATACATGCAAGCCAAACATTGAATTAATTTTCTGACTTACCTTGAAATATGAAGAACCACGTATTATAGAATGAGGATGTATTTTCTAAAGGGAGGGATAGAAAGCATTGATATAAAAAAGGCAACATAGCAGATATATAGAATTGGATAGTGCTTTGGAAAGAACTATGCAAATATTCTATTTTTCTTTGCAGAAGCATTTCATCTGACAACCAGGAGGCATTCAAATTAAAGTTCTTTAGAACATTTAGCTCATAATCTCTCCCTCAGTTGAAGTATAATTTTTTTTTCTAGTTAAATGGAGCTTAGTGACAATAGCTGAGTAATGCACACTTGGAAAAGGTTCCTAAAGTCTTCGACAAAGCTTACAATTCTTGTAAAGGTCTGGAAAGAAGATATGGGTTCAAGACAGATATTGTTAAAATATTAATATCTCAAATGACTTAAATACTCAAAGTTATAAAATATATAGATACTAAGATGATAAGGAACCAAGTAAGTAGGGAAAAATGTTCAGTTGAATTTAAATGCCTGAAACTATTATAAGTGTAGTTTATCAAAGAAGGAAATGACTTTTATTGGATAGAAACCTTGAGCAATTTTTGAGAGGCAGTGAAGGGTTTTTCAACTTTTTTGATCTTAAACAGTAACCTATTTCTCATGTTAATGTGTATTTAAGACTTACTGGAAATACTCATAATATGAGCTGAAGACTGATGTCTGGCAGCAAGCATATTTCTGAAATTGGGTCAGTTTTTATTACATATTTTCTGAAATATGCTTTCATTGATATTTACAAAACAAATTGCCAGTTCACATAAAGGTTGTTTTAATAAAAGCCAATGAAAACAGCTGAGTTGCTACAAAGAATGTTAAGGGGGAAATGGACTTTTCATAACCTCACATTATAAATTTTTTGAACAAAAAATGTATTATTTGAATGAGTTTGGAACTGAAGGGAATTAGTATGTCAAAATATCCACCTCAATGTTATATGTGATCATTTTTATTGCAAGTGAAAAATATTAAATATAAGTAAAATTTAAGTGCTGCCAGTATGAGTTTGGCAAAATCTTAGGAAAATGTTAGTTAAGAAATGATGAATTTTGACAATAGTTCAGCTCTGACCATAGAAACTATCATTGCTTCCTAGCTCCCACAGGATAAAACCCAAGGTATGCTGCCCAACTTTCACAGCTCCACCTAATGCGGCCTCTCTATGCCTATCCATCTTCACCCTCCACTCCAGTGGAGTGTGCCTATCCTCCACTCCGTACAATTGTCTCTGCTATTCCTAGGTAGGTCCCCATATTCCCATGGAATCTCTATCCCAATGACCTCCTGCTTCCTCCTGACTCCTCATCATTACATTTTTCTCCTGTATCTTTCAGAAAGCAGCTAAACCCACACTGTTCTGGTCCTCACTGACTTCCTTTTACTGAACTACTTCGGCAATTTTTTTTTGCCTTCAATTCTAACTTGCCCAATAAGTTCAGTGTCATCTACCATATCTACATTGTCTTATAGCAATGCAAAAGCCTGGAGAGTAGGAAAGTTTAATATTTCATGTTTCCTTCTTCCTGGTTGCAGTACCGCATAGTGATAAGCATGTAGCGGTCCTCAAGAAACATGAAGCAGGTTATATCCTTTGATTACACATTACTGTCTTAACCTGCTGATCTATTTTGTCTTCTGAGCTCCAGAAGCAGTCCCAAATCCTTGGACACAAATTAAATATGACCTCTGAACTTTAGCTATTACATCTACAAAACAGGGTTGGTGGTCATAATTACCCTTGAAAATATTAAGAACATTATTGAGAGAACATAAAGACATTGAGCACATAGTATCTGATACTTCATACATCCAAATCTAAACTCTGGATTTTTCTTTCAGTCCTATTTTTCATCAAACCTTCATCTTCTCCCTGAGTAGTGTTACCATTTAGCAAGAGAATAGCTAGCACTCTGAACCTGGCATGATTTGTCTCTTCTTTGTCATCCATATCCCATAATCATTTCTTCAATAAACCCTGTTGGCTGTACCTCTGAGATGCATCTGATATCTACCCTCTTGGAAACACTTCAACTTCTACACCCTAAACCAAGCCACACTCATGTTTTGCCATAGCTACAATGGTAAGTTAAGAGATTCAGAACTTAGACTCTTAGTCCCATTCTTGCTACCTTGGAGTCTGTCTCCATCCAGCAGCCACAGTGTTTCTTCTAATACATAAGACGGAGTAAAATTCAAGGCCTCTGCCATGACCTAAAAGGCTCTGTGTTCTGATGCACCTTAGATCTCCCATAACTCTCCCTTTCACTCAGCCCACTGAAACCACACTGGCCTTTTTGCTGATCCTCAAATCCATCAGAAAGTATGTTGCTACCTTACAGTCTTTGCCCTGCTGTGCCCTCTGCCTGAAATAACCCTTCCTTGGGTAGTCTATGAGTCACTTCCACCTTTTCTTCAAGATTCTGTTCAAATGCCAACTTCCCTGACAACCATGTTTGAACTAGAGTACACGCTCTATCCATGTCCCCTAAAGATGGCTCCTCACCTCCTCCCTTACAATTAGCTCATTCTGTCTCCTTCCATGTGAATGAAAGCTGTATGAGGCCAGTGATATATGTCCTGTTCACTGAGACACTGCCAAAATCTAAAAGTGTCTGCCTTATAGAGGAACTCAAATAACACTTGCTGAGTGATGAAAAAGTAATTGCTCAGTAAGGAAGACCTCTTAGTAATAGTATTATTACTCTATTTATAAGAATGGTGTGAAAATTAAACCGAAAGTGTGTGGAACACTTTACTCTAATAAAATTTTTACAGTTATCATTATTCATATGTATATTACACATATACTTCAAATTCAACATATTCAAAACTGAATTAGTCTCCCCCACAAACCTCCGCCTCATCCTTTGTGCTGTGTCATTTAACATCTTAATCAATTTCAATCCCATTACCTCCCCTCCCTTTCCTCCTCCTTTGATTTTATATATCTTTTGCTTCTCTTTCATAGTTTACTTTATTAATTTTATATGGGCAACACATTTACATTTCTTTGATGTAAAGCCAAAGAAAGTATGGGTGTTTCTATTCGGGTATTTTATTAAAGCCAAATCCCTAAATCCTTATTTCATTTTCTGAATGCTTAGCGACTCTCATTTCACAGATTACATAAAAAGAATGCACAAGGTTCTCCATGATTGCCACTCAGTATTTGCAGTTACAACTCTACAGAATGCCCAATGGGATCCTAATAGTTTTCTAATGTTCAATGTCTACCTCTACTCAAATGTTTAATTACCCTGGTATTTATTTTATATATGGTACTAAACAGAAAAACTTATCAAGAAAATATTTATATTAGTTTATTTTATTTATATTTTTATCGTGCCATCTAAATATATTGAATATGAGTTACTACCAAAACAAAACATCTGGAGCCGTTTTCAGAAATCATAAAGTAAAACTCTAGACTTTCTGCCTGTCACTACAATGGCATTGCTTTCATGTAGCTTCCTATTGAAATCGTTTTTCTTGGTACTCAGTGATGTTGGTTGAGATATATAGTGGTTGCTGTTCTGTAAAATGCCATCATATCAATGAAAAATATTTTGCTATTTTCAGCATCTTGAATTTTGCATATTGTTTTACTAAAACACTTTTGTGTCAACTGTTTGAAGCTTTATCAATATTGATTAAACTTTCACTGCTCTGATTCATGTTTTCCAAAAGGTTTTCTCATTTCAGCCAATAAATACTTTGCCAAACTCAAGACCGTGTAAATCACATTGCAATGATGCACTCATACAGGTATTACTTCTTGAAATTCAACTAAAGGTTTCATTCTGATAATGTTCAGTATGTTTAATTTCATAATAAATTGTATTAAAAGTTCTGATAACATGTTTAAAAATGTTTTTCACTCACTTTCTAGAAACACTTTACTAAAGTTATTCTAAATATTTTAATGCATACAACTCATTCATGATATTTGAAATTTTCTCTTACTTATTGCCAAATTTTTCACTGGAAACATAAGCTTTAGCAAAACATGGTAGCCACTCTGGTTTTTTTAAAAAATATTTTTCCTGTTCACCTTTTAAAACAAACTTTGAGGTCTATGTCCATTCAAAAATTACCAGTTATCAATAATCAATAATCATAGCAACATTTATCAATGATCATCAGTATATGTGCCCAGTGTCTAGTGTCTACTTATTTCACTTTGCACTCGTTTGATAAAATGTATGTGTGCCAAATGACTCTATATACCCCCTCCTCTTCTCTCCTTGTGTCCCTCTATATGGCCCCCTAGGTTGTCTTTCTAAAATACCCATACGACCATGTCATTTCCTGACATACTTTCAAGTTTTACTATTCTTTACTTGGCCCCTCACAATTTTTTAGCTTCCTCTCAATCTCACATTATCCTTCCTCTACCCAGACACTGTCTCACTGGACAGCTAGATAACTCAAACTACTAGGACAATTTTGTGCTTTAAGACATTCATGTTATTTTATTTGGCTTAGCCTTCTTTCTCTGACAGCATTTGTTGATATTTTTATCATTCTTAAAGTCACAAATCAAATATGCTTATTACATGAAACTATCCCTGACTTTCCATTTCCCATGATCAACTTGTCATGTTCCCATAGTACTTATAGATGCCCCAGTGATGGTGATTGCCATGTTTATTAGGGTTTTAATGTATTTGTCCTCTCACTTGACTATGAAGTTCTCATGGGCAAGAAGTAAAAAATATGATCTTTGGAACACAGTGCCTGGAATACATTCAGCCAATCATAACTGGAGGAATGACAAAATAAATGCAGTAGATCTTCAAATTATGTGTACTAGTTTTGGTACTCCCTTTAAGTTATGTTTTCTCTACCTTCCATAATTTTTACTGAGGTAAAACAGTAATTATACTAAATATCTAGTCTAATAAATTTTGACATCTGTATATACACCTATAATCTGTCACCCAGGTGAAGATGTGGAACATTTCATACAGATCCTATATAAGATACTGAACCTCATGTTTTCCCAGTCAGTACTTACTCTCCTGAGAG